AGCCCTACATGGCTTGGGTCCATCTTATCTCAGGGACCGCCTCTTTCCTTATGACCCCCCCATGCCCTTTGGTCCTCTGGGAGGAATCTGCTACAGCCAATAAAAACCAGGCTGTCTCAGACCTCCCAGAGGGCCTTTTCTGTAACTGCTCCCAGACTTTGGAATGGCCTGCCAGACGAGATCCATCTCATTACTACTCTTACTGCTTTTAAAAAGGCAGTGAAGACGGATCTTTTCTGGCAGGCCTTCCCAGAATAATAGCTGTCATTAGGGAGATGAGTTTTCATCTTGTTTTTATATCACTGATTTTTTTATTGTTTTATCATTTATTGTTTTGCGGCATGTTTAATCTTTTTTAGTTTAATTCTGTTTTAAGGGGATGGGAGGGTTGGACTGTGGGATGAGGGAATGTTTTAACTTTGTCTGTTTTAAATGTTGTAACCCACCCCGATTGCCGCGCGGAGGGGCGGGCTATAAATAAAAATTTATTATCATCATCATCATCATCATCATCATCATATCATCTACCATCCTAGGGACACTGTCCAGACATACTATCCCAAAGGCCACAGGATTACTGCCTCTGGCTTTCAAAGCACACATTGGCTGGAATCCTGTTAGTTACTTCCAGATACAGTAGATCAATTGAATCAGTTGAAGTCAACACTCAGGTAAACCAATTGATTCAACAAGTGTACTCTGCTTGGGACTAACAATTGAATCTAGGCTGTTATCTTGTTGTTGTTGTAAGCCTTCAAGTTATGGCAACCCTAAGGTGAACCAATCACAGGGTTTTCTTAGCAAGGTTTGTTCAGAGTGGGGTTTGCCTTTGCCTTCTTCTGAGGCTGAGGGACTATGATTTGCCCAAGTACATCCAGTGGATTTCCACAGTTGAATGGGAAGTCGAACCCTGGTCCCTGGTGTCATAACTCAATGCTCAAACCACTATACCACACTAGCTCAGCTCCTTAAGAACAGCCCTATAATATACAGCTGATATCAAATCCATTCTGCGGAATGGATGGTTGAGACTGAGAAGAGAGTTGATTTCTGAAGATCATCCAGTGAATCCATGTCTAAGAAAGATATAAATCTGAGCAAAATATAAATCCAAGCTTCTTTTCTGCTGCTCCAGAGATCTTAACATGAACCAATGGATTCAAATTAGAAGAAACGAGATTCTACAGACCACATTCTTTACTCTTTTACAATGGAATGGACTCCTGAAGGGGTGGTGGACTCTCCATCTTTGAAGGTCTTTAAACAGAGGTTGAATGGGAATCTTTCAGAAGTTCATGAATTGTGTATTCCTGAATACACTAGATGGCTTTTGTAGTCCCTTCCAACTCTAATATTTTTTGATTCTGTGTTTCTACAACTCATGCTCAGTACTCTGCCCACATGATTTCAGCAGTGTGTAGGCATGCATGCATATATGCACACACATGCATACATGAACACACTGCTATAATTCTGCATGCCCAAAGGGGACTCAATCGTTTCCTGTGCTATCTGATGTGGTGATTTTATGCACTGTGAAAAATGGTGTTTGATTTGATGTGTCATTAAACAAATTGCTTCTTTTTCATACTCTCCTTTCTGCACAGCGGTTCCAGCAAGAGAATAATATAACCATGGTGTTGCCCACAAAGTCAAGGTACAGGACATGGCCTCCACAATACAATCTATGCTAAGTAACTAATCTGTTATGGAACAGCTGTTTCCTTCAAGATCTCGGGTATCAGATGTGTGAATTTATTTTCCCTTAATCTTCTCTGTCATGCATCTTTCTCCATCACATTCTTGCTTCCCCGCCCCCCCCCCCGCCATAAAACCCCAGGCTTTTGCTGTTTTTCTTGTAAAACTATTCTCAGGGAATAGTTTGTAATTATTTGAATGCTGAAACAGATACAAATACACCATGACCAAAGAATGAAAAAGGCAGAGCTTAACCCAATAGGGGACAACAGCAAGCAATATGTCTGGGTCTTCACACCAGTTTCCTGATGGGGTGGGGGTGAGGAGGCCTTTAAAATAATGGCAGTGATGAAGAAAAGATTTGAAAACAAAGCCAACTGTTGAATACATCCAACATTCAATATTTAATAACAAGGTGCTTAATTGCTTTTCTGCATTTTCAAATGATTTATGCACCATGAAGAATGTGATTGATCTGATGTGTCAACAAACAATTTGCTGCTTTTTCACATTTTTCTGTGGGGTTTTTGCATTTATTGTAAGTGGTGCTCTGGGAGCAATTCCATTTGGACTGAGAAATAATGTGAAGGAAATTGCCATACATAGGATCACAAAAAGGCAATTCCTAAAAGTGACACTACTTGGAACACCCCACATTATCTAATGATACCCCACTGACTGAATCAGTAAAACTTTATTGACTGTGAATCTGAGATGAGGATAAGGATGGTTCATATTTAGATTCCACCTTTTGTCCCAGAATCAAGGCTTGAGGCAGTTTACAAATGAAAACAAATATAATATATTGAAGGTATACAAACCATTCTTAATTAAACTGTAATTAAACTATCAATAACATTTAAAAACAAGTTAAATATTCAGAAGAAAAAAAATGAAAGCAGTTAAAAACAGGACAGGGACACTGGAAGCCCTTTTAAAAAACCCCCAAAAAACAAGAACCATAAATGTTCTCAAACCCATCAGAATAAACAAGTCTTTGCATGCTGACCAAAGGAGAGCAAGGAGAGAGCCACTTCAGAGCAACCACAAACATGGGACTTAATCACACAAGGCAAGTAAATTGCAATAATGCCAGGATAATCTCATCTTTGGCTACATCCCATCATCCTTCTCCTGTTGTTCTCCTGGTGGGAGATTGTTTGGAAAGTGCTTCTTTTCATTAACACAAAATCCTATTAATGACCTCCTTTCCTGCTACTGTTCTGCTACCTTTTCAAGTGTGATGGTTCAATTCTGCTTTAATGCTAATTTTGGATGGTCAGGGAATGGTCAGTGGCCATACTTTGGATGTGGTTTAAGTGCCCTTTGCTTGCCAGTTATCAGGGAAAAAGGAGAAGGGGTGGACATTTGGATTTGGTTTCCTTTCAATGGGCAAAGTTATTGAGAAATTTTTAAACTATATAGAAAAAAAGCCATTGGCACTCCCACTAGGAATTGTCAGAGAAGCCAAAACTTTTCTCACTGCCCCTCTGCTTTGCATCCCTCTTGCAGAATTTCTGTCTCTCCCTTATTTTCTCTCTTTCATAGACACTCACACCCAACTGGAAATATGAGTGGAAAAGAGTCTTATAGTTTAACAAGCATTGATTGCATTAACCCCTATCCTCTTTCTTGCTGCTTTCTTGTAGCTTCAGACTTAACTAATCACTGACAGATGAAAAGCAGAATCAGGATAGTTCAGATTAGCTGCTGGCTTTCATCTACCAATGATTATTTAATTCTGAAGCTAGAAATCTGATCTATCCCAATCAGTCTACATTACAAATGTAATTTGTTGTGGCACCAGAGCTCTCTGAAAGAGAAGGTTAAATGTCTTACAAAACTACAATTCCCAGAATTCCATAGCATGAGCCATGGTAATTAAAGTGACATCAGCTTGGATTATTTCTGCAGCTGGAGAGCCTTTGTGGCTGAAGAGCATGGTTTAAGTACTCTAAAATAATAAATAAATAAATAAAGGGATGCAGTTCTGTAGATTGGGTGTATTCCTGGACTCAGTCCTGAGCCTGGAAGCTGAGGTTTCAGAGGTGGCCAGGAGTGCATTTACACAGTTAAGTCTTGTGTGTCAGCTTTGTCCATTCCTAGAGATGTCAGATCTGGCTATGGTGACAATTACTTTAGTTACATTGTATTTGGATTGTTGTAACACAGTTTTTTCAGGGGCTGCAGCTGAAGAATGTCCAGAAACTTCCCCCAATTCAAAAAGCTGCAACCAGATTGTTAACTTCAGGGAGCACACAACTCCCTTGCTGCAACAGCTCTACTGGCTATCACCAGTCCATTTTCAAGCAAAATTCAAAAGGCTGGTTATAGCGTATAAAGCCCTATATGGCTCAGATTCAAATTATCAGAAGAACTGTATTCTCTGATTTGAGCCTACCTGTGTTTTGAGATCTTCTGAAAAGGAACCTCTTTCTGTGGGAGCTGATGAGAGCACTTCTTGCTGTCTGCTCTCAGGTTTTCAAACTCACTTCCAAGAAAACTTATACTGGCATGCTCCTTGTTGGCTTTCCACAGAAAGATATTGTTTTATCATACCTTTAAAGACTAATTGCTCAAGGGGAAAAGGTTTTGAATACTGTGTTGTGTTGTTTATTTGTTGTTTTCTTTTTAATTATGTTTTTAACTGGTTTAAATTTTATTTTGGCTATTTTTGACCTCAGGTGAATCACACACTCCCAGCCTCAGCAAATCCTGTGATAGCTTCATGTTGTTGTTGTTGTTGCTGTTGTGTCTTTAAGTCATTTCTGACTTATGGTGACCCTGAGTGAACCTATCATAGGGTTTTCTTGGCACGATTTGTTCATTGCCTTCCCCTGAGGCTGAGAGTATGGGACTTACCCAAGGTCACCCAGTGGGTTTCATTACCAAGTAGGGAATCAAACTCTGGTCTTCAGAGTCGTAGTCCAACACTCAAACCACTATGCCACATTGACCTTAGGGTCACTATAAGTCAGAAATGACTGGAAGGCACACAACATCATCATTAATTACATTTTAATCTTTTTGAGGGGTAATTTTTAAAGCTTTGTTTCAATAAAACATTGTCTGAAAGTATTTTTTTCAATTTTAACTGAAACACTTTCATATAATTCACAGCCAAAATTGAACCTGATCAACAATTCACTGTCTTTGCTTGTCTGGAATGCACTCACCCACGAAACAGACCAACAAACTCATTGATGCTTTCAGCCTTAATGGGCTGTTAACTGCAGAAATATATCCCCCCCCCTCACGAAAAAAGAAGACCTTTTCCACTCTTCTTTGGCAGAGCTGAGAGGATGAAATCATCAGCCTATGGAAAGGTATAAATGGTTAATGGGTCATCTTTGTCTACTGCTGCTAGTGTGTACACAGCCAGTGCGGCACGGCTGTATCAATAATTTAGTTTTCATTCGTCTGAGACAGTCTGGCACTATTTCTATATGGGTCACAATCATTCCGCTATTTAACAAATCTGTGGTTTTATGAGGCTGAAGTACTGAAATGGTCCTGTTCACGGTAATGTTCTCCTTCACTCTGACTGTGATTCGACTAGGATGCTGATGTGCCAGCTGGCATCTGCATTTAGCCAATTACCCATGGATGGGTGAGCAGATATACAGGGAGATGGGTATAACAGAGACACAGATAACTAACTGGCAAATATTTTCAGCGGTAACAAAATACCCATCATTGTGGCAGGTGGAATTGGTCAATGATCAGGGGCAATATATGGCAAGGGAGAACATAGTGGACCCAGACAGATCGCTAGGATGGGACATGTCGGACATTTACTTACCTCCCCTTTCTGTTCACAGGGTTTGGCAAAAACCTGTACTTAAAACTGTGTTCTAGATGGCTGCCTGTTTATCTGCCCCTCCACAAACTCAGTATGAGGGGGGTTGCAGACTGCCAGAAATAGTGCAAATTGAATCCATTCTAAGGGTTAGGGTTAGGGTTAGTGCTAGGGAATCATGGGAATTTTTTATTTTTCTGAGACATTTAGCCTTCTCTGTCAGAGAGCTCTGGTGCCACAATAAAATACAGTTCCCATGATTCCCTTACCCTAAAAGTGGACTCAATTTGCACTATTTCTGGCATTCTGCAACCCCCGAGTTACAGAGACGCATACCTGCTTTAAACACCATATCCCCAATCTTCATAATTCTATCAATGCATTGGATTGTTAGATGGTCATTTGTCAGGGATGCTTTAGCTGTTTTTTTTCCCCCCTACTGTAGCAGGAGATTGGACTAGGTGACTTTTAGGTTCATTTCAAACTTTACAGTTCTGTGATTTGATGATTCTATACCTGACATTATTTGACCTAGCGGTATTACTATGTGCTTCTGTGACCAGATGTCCTAACTGCAGAGGAAGACATGGCATCACAAAATGTATGACATTCCAGAAAAATGTGGGACATTCCAAAGTAAAAAGCTTGAAACACTCGTAGAAATGTAAATTCATGCTTCTCAGTCATGCTCTAAATGGGGGTATATTTTAAAATTCCTCCTGGACAGAAAGCTGAAATGTAAGACATGTCCTGGAAAAGGAGGACATCTGGTCACATGGCTTCTGTTTCCTCAGTGGGTGGTGCTAAGGGATAAAAGAGGGAATATTTTTTTAACATGTATCTGGATAGTTTCCGTTTGCATCTGCACTGCAGAATTAACACAGTTTAATTGTCATGGCTCAGTGTTATGGATTCTATGATTTGTAGTTTTGTGAGATACTTAGCCTTCAGAGAGCTCTAGTGCCACATCAAACTACAAATCCTAGGATTCCATAGGATGGAAAATTAGTTTTTTTAAAGTGTTTGTATACTTTAATTTTTCCATATTATACATACATAATTCCAATCAGTTGTTTCAACACCAACATCACACAATTTTACATTCCATAACTAAGACATTTATAACTCTATAATTTCCCTATAGGCAATAGGATGGGCAATAGGCAATGGGATGGAAAAATGGTCATGAAACAAAAAATTGCCCCAGCAAATCTACGTATTTATTTACAACACTCTCTTCACCCAATTATATTACTGCATTTGTGCGAGTTACATGTTTTGCAAACATGATAGGCTGAGAGATGCTCACAAGAAATAGTCTACCTCATTCAAATATGTTTTTGAGGGGGTTGAGTGTTTAGATTTATTGAATTCTGTGCCTATTTACACTCCAATGGACACAGGCCAATTTTATCCAATGCATTGGAATTCTCATTAGGATCAGAAAACACCCCAGTTTAAGGCGAGGGTTAAAATAGATCCATGCAAGTGATGTTTAAAACCTCTGTTTCTTCTTCTCCTCCTCCCTTTCGCTTGCTAAACAGGTTGTTTCTGCATGAGCCTTTTACATCGCTTCCCAAAAGTTTCCCTGGAAGGCAGCAACCTTTTTTAAAAGGCCATAATAAAGGTTTAGCACTGTGAGGAACCTCATGTAGGAGCTTGCTAAAGCTTCTGCACAGCTGAAATGAAGATTACCTGGGTTCTGTTATGCTGTCTTTTTATTCATTAGGAACACTGATCATTCCAAATTCTGCTTTCTTCTTCTTTATTACCACAATTGGCAATTAGAGTGACTTGATGAGGTATGACGGTTTATAGACCTCAGGAGTATTGAAAAATGCT